CTGGCCTTCGGGCCGGCCCCTCTCGGGTCGCCCGCCTGTGCAGCTCTCTTGGCTCTGCGTCTGGCCCCGCCGGGGAGGCGGCCTTCTGTGTCCAAAGCAAGCAGCAGAGGACAGGGCGCAGTCCCAGAAACGGCGAGCACAAGCCCTGTCGCTGTCCCACGCGCCTGGCAGCCCCGGCGGCCCTTCGGGCGCTGGTTCCCAGCCCGGGCAGGGAGCCGCCTCTCGGGAGTGGTGGCGAGTGCTGACTCCCGCAGGCTGGGAGGGCAGGGAGCTGGGCACCATGGACCCTCCCGCCCCTACACGCACTCTTCAGTCACGTGGAGGAATGGCCCAGAGAAACGCTCACACCGAAGGGTTTAGCAGTGCCTTCCTGTGCCGAGGGGCAGGGTGGCATCGTGGTTACGTGCAGGGACCTAAGTCAAGCTAACGGAACTGAAATCTAAGATTTGCCTCGTCCTGGCTCCGGGGCTTGAGCCCAGCACTCAGCCCCTCTGCGCCTCCGTCCCTTGCTGTGTGTAACTGCGCCTGAGGACCGTGCTCAACGCACCGCCAGGTTGTATCACGAGCGGCTGTCCCGGATCGCCCGCGGATGCTCTCTTCCCCTGCGCAGATTTGGAGGAGTTGAAGAGAAAGCTGCCACTTTCTAGGTTCAGCAGCCTCAAGTGGGACAGAACCTTTGACACCAAAGCCGTGACAGGGGGCCTCTCACTGCCGGTACTTCAGCATGCGGACGGCTTCCTGTGCAGCCTCAGCCCAGGAGGGCACCTGCGGTCACGGACCATTCGTCCTCAGTCCCTCCCGGCCACTGCGTCTCTCTGCGGTCACTCAGCTCAGGTTCCCTTCATAATTCCAGGAAAAGAGATGGCAGGACTTTGCTAAGCACCTTCATGGAGTCTCCTGCCAGGTACAAAGATGCGGCACTGGTGACCCATCACCAGCTAACCAGATGCTACTGTAACCGGCTGTAAATCGTAAGCATGACCAACGCCCCGCGGCCGAAGTCCCTTGTAAAGTGCATCACAGCCCCTTTTGGGAGGCTCCCCTCTTGCCTCCCCCAAGGCTTTGGCTATCACTTCACCAAATCCATCCTCTCGCCTCTTGCCTCTCAAGACAAATGTATCTTTCTGAAAATTTCCTGGCCTCATGATCAACTAAAACATTCCTCCAAGAAACGTATGGCTTAGAACCTTCATGAAATGAAGGGGTCCTGAAGCGGTCCCATTGGAGAGGAGTTAGGTGGACAGGCTTAAGACATTAGGGATAGCCAGAGTGGTAAGAACTACTGATGCCCAGGAGAACGGAAAATGCCAAGAGGCAGAAACTTGCCTTCAAAGAACAGACTCTGCTGTTTATTTCAATGCAGGTAGTTTACACAACTGGGTGGAATGAGGACTCGGACAGACTTCCAATCACGACAGGTAGCTTTATAGAGCCAGTCTGTGCATCTCCACCCAAATGGGTATCATTAGCTGCTACTGAGGTTCATTAGCTGACTTCTTGTGCAGATTAGCACCGAACAGTCATGTGCTAGCCTGCGTTGTCTGCTGAGTTGAGAGAAAGGGGGTGTGCATGCAGATGGAGGCGGGGAAATAGAGCTGTGGGCTGCACTGGGCCATGAGGCCTGCTGGATGGAGAACTTATATGGTGGGCAGAAGTGGGTTTACCATGGGCGGGGGGGACACGTTTATTCTGGTATTATTGTTTGCTGTGTCCTTTATTTGTATTTCCATATAACTGTAAGCCTATTTTTGCCCACCCTGTATATGGAGGCAGCTAAGAAATTGCTGCAAGTGTGTTATGTAAGACATTTCAATTGGGTTTTCTTCTGTTGGCAAGTGAATAGAAAATGGGTTGGTAATTTCACTTTTACTATTCATTGGGAGGAAATAGGGAGGGAGTTGGGTGAAATTAAGTATTCCTCCTATGGTTAGAATTAGTTTATAAAAGCCATTTGTCCTTGGAGGACTTTTTAATAAAAGGGTTTTTTTTTTAAAGATTTTATTTATTTTTTAGAGAGAGAGGGAAACATCGATGTGAGAGAATAAACGATCGGTTCTCTCACACACCCCCAAACGGGGACCTTGCCCACAACCCAGGCATGTGCCCTGCATTGGGAATCAAACCAGCGACCCCTTGGTTCGAGGCCGGCACTCAACTCACTGAGCTACACCAGCCAGGGCAAAATAAAATCTTTTTAAAAATTTAAATAAAGCTTAGCCCCTTCCAGTGTTTAGGACACAAGAATTAGCAGCAGTTGTCCTCTTTAACACTTCATGATTTCGTGCTTTTAATTCCATACCCCATCCCCAACTAAACCTTATTTTGAAGATTTTCAAGTCTCCAAAAAGTTGAAAAAACCCATCTACTTTTCACTAAGGTTCCAGTTATCCTGCTTCGTTTGCCCTATTATACTTTACACATACACACACACACAAATTTTGCCTCACCATTTCAAAGTTAACAGGATGACCCTTCATCCCTAGGTATTTGTGTGCACCTCCTAAGAAAAAGGACATTCTCCTATATAAGCCCACGTCCATTACCATACCTAAGAAAATCACATTCCATAGCACATAAGAGTTCATATGCAAATGTCCAGATGTCCCTAAAATGTCTTTAATGGCTCGATTTAAGTCAAGTTCAAATCTAAGTCATGTATTGCATGTTGTTTGATCTAGAACAGTCTCCCCATATGTTTTACACTACAGTTTAAGAATTCACATCAGGTGTCTTTGTGAATGCCCTAAATCCATTCAACTTTTATCTAATTATCCCACATGACAAGATTCAGGTCAAATACTTTTGGGAAAAATGCTACAGGTGATCAGGTGGAGCATTAAGCAACTTACTTTCTTGCTAGCTCAGCAATACATTAAAACAATTTTAAAAAATTAATCTAATCCAGCATCAGGAGAGGTCCTCAGTGCTCTCTTGCCATACTGTTGGAAGCAGGTGTCCTTTTGTATTCTTTCCAGGTCACCAGCAGCCACACCTTTACAAGTAAAATAGTGATGTATTTACCACCACCTGAGGACAGGTAACATGAAAAAGGGAAACTTGAGACAAAACCACGCATTAAGTATTGTAGCCTACCAATTCATCTTTGAATCTGTTATTCCCTAAAAATCTAGAGCCTAATAGGAGTGTTTGTTGGAATATAGATGTCTAAGGATCAATTAAATTAGTGAAAGGCGAGCTAAGTATTTAAGAGCTGAGGATATTTAAAGTCTTGGGGTCCTATAGTCAAGTCTTTTCTTACTGCATCAATAAAAAGGGGAAAATTACATTTTTAACCTGCCCGTTTTCACAACAGTAGGAAGAAGAAATAGGAAAAAGGAAGCTGTTGAGGCTATGGGTCAACCCTGTACTATAAATGGTCTTGTGTCCACATTAACTCCATGAGCTGGATATGACTGCCCTCATTTCCCAAATAACCAAAGTGAAACTCGGAGTTCACACAGGTTAATTGGTAAACCTGTTTACCATTTCAAGCCGAAGGGTTCAAACCAGTCCACCCGCTGGGCAAAACCTATGCTTTTTCCACTACACAAAATGCATCTAGAAAGGTAACACTTAGCAAGTTCCAGTCTGATGTTTTACTTGGTTATTCATGGCCACAACTTATGTATAACCTAAAGAAAAAATACACCAAAGTAAAATTTCTTGGAAAAAAAGTCTCTACTCATTCACTGTACTCTTGTTGCTATTCAAAGCAGAACAGCCCTTACCAAGGTCGTGCATGACTTGATGTTGCTAAGTCCAGTGGCCACTGGATTTTTACTTCATCTCTTGCCCTGACACTTAGTATCACTGATACCTCACACTCCTTGGAACCTTTTTCTCTTCTCTTCCATTACAGTTCTTTGGCTTTGCTCCAGGACTAATCCATGGTCTTTTTTCTTTTTGTCCACCTTACATGTTTCTTCCGCTCTCCTAAGTATCCTGCTCTTCTCTTACTGTGAATGTCCTACTGCCTTTACACCGTTTTCAGTTCCTCCTTATTACACTGGCAGCTCACCTCCACCGCAGGCCTACTGTGTGCTGGGCACACGCAGTGATGAATAAAGGACTTCCAGGCTCTTCTGCAGCTCAGGGATTTCTTAAAAATACCAGAACCATGGACATCTGCTCTTCAATTCTCCACAGGTACCTTAAACTCCACATATTTCCAAATTGAACTCACTCTGCTCCACTCAATCTATTCCTTTCTCCCCTTTCTATTATTTTCATAGGTACCATACACAAAATATGGCTTGGGCAACCCCATGGCTTCAATTATCGGTCTATTTTACTTTCTTAACCTAAAGTTTGACTGCTATTTCCCGTTTCCACTGCCAGGTAGCTTAGTTTAGGCTCACCTGCATTACCCACAGCCTACAACTGCCTATTTCCAACCTGCTTGGTAGCACTTTTAACTCCACAGTTCAAACAGTTTTCCAAAAAGGGAACTCTGATTATATCAACTCTCCAAGCCCCATTCTGCTTCCAGTTCTTCAGGGGCTCCTTGCTGGCCTCAGGGTAAGCGCCAAACCCTTTAACAGGATTTTCAAGAAAGTGCCTGAAAAGGACCCACCCTCCTCCGTTTCTCCCAGCTTAGTGTTTTCCTACTCCAATTTCATCTCTGAGTCCAGCCAAACTGAACTTTTCAGGTCCTGAAATGCAAACGTATTCTCTTTTCTTTTCAGGCTTCTATGCATTTTAGTCTCTCTTCACTCTTTGCCTGGCCCACTGTTCTACCTTTCATGAGAGAGCACTGACCGCCCCACCCCGGCCTTCCCCACGTGGTCCTGCGCTACTCCGAGTTAACCCCAGCGCAGCACTCCTCATTCTCACAGTGTCCAAAATGCTTGTTTGCTGCTCTGTCTCCAGGGCCTGCATGCAGTACACATACTTTTAATGAATTTAAATGATTAAGTCTCAAATCAATGAGAAAGAAAAAAAGAAATTCATTTGAAAACTTTTTCAATTTTCTAATTTAATAGAAATAACCAAAACAATGTGGCTTTCAAACAAGAATTTAAACTAATCTAGTACAACTTCTACAACACATTCCAGAGCATTATAACAAGAAATATTTACAGGCAGCTAATGTATTAAATAACCATGAAAAGAAAATCTTGTCTTTATTACACACCAGCAAAAAACACAGGAACGGAACAATTAGAAACTGCAACTTTTTAAAAAAAATTAAATATGATTATTTAGAGAATACAATACCACAGAAACAGCACTTTTTCTTTAAGAATCATACTGAAGGGTAGTTAACTATGTGCAAAAATAATAGGAGTTGTGGTGGTAGTAGTAGTAGTAGTAGTAGTAGTAATAGTAGTAGTAGTAGTAGTAGTAGTAGTAGTAGTAATAAAAAAAATAATGAGGGAAGGAGACCAGTTGAAATACTGGAAGCAAGGAACTAGTAAGGCTATGAATTTGACCCTTTCGTGTGTCAGTTATTTCTACATAGAAAATTAACAGGCTTTCAGATTGCACAAATCTTTTCTGATAGGCTTATAGACATCTTTTGCTTATTTAAAACATAGTAAATGCCTACATTTTTCAGACCAGGAGCAGACATGCATTTCGTTCTTAAGATTGAAATTCAGGCCACACTTGAAAGGGAATATTGCAGTGGCACCCAGAAAATCATCTCTGTGCCTTCCACATACAAATTTGGTGAATTTAAAAGAACAGCTTTTTTTTAATTTTAAAGATCACTTGCTACAAGATAGCTGAACTTAATTTTGTACATTTTGTAGTTTGATTATGACAAATATATCCAAATGGAGTTAACTGTGTTTCTCTGATACAATAAAAAATATATATAAAAGACCACAAAGGCAAACACAAGGAACCAAGATGGAAGAAATGCTATACATGCATTTTGACCAAGTAAAAGAAACCATTATATCCCAGAGTACATGTTGAAATCTGAAATGTCTATGTAAACTGAGGCATATAAATTTTCTTAAAAAAGTACCTTCAATTTTTTTTACTCAAACACCTACTTTTAAAAAAATATGCAACTTTCCCCAATTTTTAAAATAAAATGCCACAATATATTGTCATTAGCTCCAGCATACATTTAATTTTCTTAATTTTTAAAAGATAGACTGGGTGATATGCATACAAACTTTCCTATAAAATCACCATCCAGGAAAGGATTATGACATGCGTAGGCAGCAGACTTAAAGCAGTGTTATTGCTTTATCAAGGAGGAGATAACTGTGAGAAGTAAAACATCTGGTCGGCACAGGATCAGACTGTGACACACCTTGAAAACCTTGGATCACCTTCAGCAGATTATTAATACAGATGGTATGAGTTAAGAATTCATAGTATGAATTCAGAACTTAATTGTTTTAATTAAGAGAGCTGGGGTGGATAGATTTTTATGAAGCTACTCACTGATCCAGTGCTGATTATGCAAATAAGCAGTGCTAACAAGAAGTGAGATTTCATTACTTCATGTGTTATATTTTGAGTTGGGAGGAGGTAAGGAACTTAAAAGGTCAAGGGAGAGGGAACAACAGCATCTGCTCCCATTTTTGGACACTAAGAGACTGTTTAGTAATATATGGTGGGCCACAATCCAAGGGCATAGTCAGAAGACCTAAATCTATTAACTTATTAATGCTAATCACTAATAATTACATGGCAGGATACCTGCTGAGGTAATTAATAAATCTACAGTTTGCACACTGTAAACCTGTTGCTTCTATTTAAAAACATTATTTCTTTGGATTAACGAAAATTTTTAAAAACCATTAACAAAAAGTGAGAATTAACTGACTTTAAAATTTATTTAAAATTCCTTTAGATAAGAAATAGAAGTCAGAAAGTACCTTGTTGATTCCAAAAAGGATAGTTTCAACAATGGATCCAATGCCTGATCACTTCTCTGCGGTCATGATTTGATGTTTTTATACAGAGCATGACCTACAATCTAACCGTTTGGAACACACACATGCTTTACCTTGCAAAGTAATTCCTACAGTGAATTAGTTCAGGTAAGTGCTGAAGTATACAAATTTAGGCCAGTGAAACCGACTAAGGAACATTTTGTTCTTAGTGTTCTAATAGGAGATAGAAACTGAAATATGGCAAAAACTTTGCAAGCCTTTAAGAAAACATTAACATCTCCAAATCTAAAATACTACCTTTTAATGAAGAATACAAGTGCCAGAGAGTATCAAAAGAAACTGCCTTCAGGAACTGATATTCAACGTTTGTCTTTTTAAAACCTAATAGGAAAACACGTAAGACATCTTAGATACCAAGTTTTTACACTTTTCAACAGTTATATTAGCGCTGAACAGATCAACTTAGAAACAGCTTAGATCAGTTAATCAGTGTGCAAGAAAAAAGCTTTAAATGAAATCTAAGTAAACACCTTCGTTTGATGGTAGTTAACTGATGGCTATTTATTAACGGTAATTCCTCAGCAGTATGAATTATCTTCTGTTAATAGAAAAGGAGCCCATTAAATGTTGACAATAAAGTGGCTTTTTAAGAACCAATCTTAAAACAAAGGGGAAAAACCCCATCTAACATGGAAATGTCTTTAAGGGAACGCATTATCTTTTAAGGCCCCAAATATTGAGAAATAAGTATTTACTTAAAATTTTGTTTCTTCCGCCACTGGTAGAAACTATATATATATGACTTATCTAATAACTGTGAAAGAGCGAGTATTAAATGTTAGACAAAATAAAGCTATACTGCTACTCGTCACTTTCGGGAAAAAAAAATGTGCCCTTAAGGTACGTCTCCTGATAAATTGAAATCACAGATATTGCAGGAAAGGGGGAATGAGAATTAGGTAATAGTATTTTTAAACAATTTTCTCCTTCTTGTAAGGAACTCTTCATAGGAATTTGAAATTTGAGTAAAGTAATAAAACAGTTAGGGATATGGTTTTAACTTACAACAAAACCGAAAGAGAAGCTGAAAGGAAGCTGGAGAATGAGGTCAATAGCAGTAACAAAATCAACACTGTTTAAATATACCATCAGAAGGCTTGAATCACATTCCTGTTTACCCCCACCACTTGTTAAGAAAAGAAAAACAACCCAAAGGAGTTTGCGTAATAATTTCTTTAGAACACTTTATTTAATTCAATATGCACTAAAAAATATTTACCTCTTAGACAAGTATGTGAAATAATTTCTTCTGAGTAATCTGTCTGAACTGCTTAAACTGGATTTTTTTAAAAGGCAAACAATTTGCCACAAATCTGCTGATGTCTGAAAATATCTAATGGAGAGTCTTCTATTTTGGTCACTTTATATTCTAATGTGTCCATACAAAAGTAGGACTAAAATTTTAAATCCAAAAAAAAAAAAAAAGAGATGCCTGTAGGTACGCAGTCTAAAACACACATCTTCAATATGAGCATTAGAAATGAAGAGGAGAAAAATGAAACAGAGCCAAGGTGGTTTATCTGCCTCGGGTGCCAAAGTCAGGGCGTACAGGTGGGATTACTCCCCTGACCATTTAAGTGGGAACTGGCGCATTTTCAGGATTTACTTACAGGTCTTTTCTGTCTGTTAGGCTCCCAGTCCATGCAAATGTCCCACTTGGTGGACAGATGAGTAATCTAACCCCACCAGGTTTATTTCAATATTTTGATATTTTAATAATAAGCTGCTTCTGAAGATTTTCTGAGAAGTCTGTTCTCTATTAAAATAACATAGAACTTCAAAATATGAATGTGAACATTAGAAATAGACAGCATATATTACAAATCCATTCTTGATAGGAACATTAGTAAGAATACACATTAGCTTAAAAAACAGGCTCAGCAAATGTTGCTGATCTGCCAGAAGTTTTAGTTCACTATTTACAAATAAGACAAAGTGAAATACAGAAAATTTTACACATTTGGTAGTTGACAGATTTACTGTTTGCCAATAGTGGTCTATCAGAAAACTGGTACGAAGGAAGACTGGATAAGAGCCAGCTGTCACCTTCTCAATCAAATTTAAATACACAGAAAACTAGGTTAATTTTAAAACAAACATTCTGCCTTTCATGGGAATAACTGTGTGAAACGGTGATTTGGCTGAGGTGCAAGTCTGTGGAAGTGTTTTCTGGAAATGATTATTGTAATTATATGATCTGCTACTGGAAAGTTTCCATATTTATTTCAGTAGACCATTAAAGTTGATTAAATGATGATCAATGGTCATGTTTCCTAGACTCCAAGTATGAACAGAAATAACACTACTGCTGAATTCTTTAAAACAATATAAAAACTAAGGCCCAAGGGCATCAAAATGAGAAACAATGTAAGTGTATGATTCAATGTACATGTGCATTGACATCAAAAATGGAATCTGAACAACTTTGACTTTAACTAGAAAACAAGCCAGTGCATGTGTGTGTGGAGGGGGAGGCATACACGTTGTTTTAGTAACTGCGCATGATGGTCCAAAGAAACAACTGATCAAGCGACATGACCCTCAAGTGTTTATACCCAGCATCCTGTACCAATCAATACCACAGGCATCAACACCTGCCAATTCTAACGGTCAGAACTCTTATTTTTAGTAACAGAAATCTTTGTATGAATTCACTTTTGCTTTCTATTTTACTTTTAATGGTGCAAATAGAGTTCTCTCCCCTTTTCTTGACAAGAATGTGTTTTCTGTCCATTATTTCAATCTAATACTATGTAAAAGCTATCAGCTTCTTCAAAGATGTGCCCACTATAGGCAGATATTCCAGAAACACTTAAATAAAAGTGTTTTCTCTTCTCTGTTTAAACAGTTGATTTAAGTTCATGTCATTTCATTTTATATGTATTGGTCTGTCATCTGACTTTAGGCGTTTTCTGCGGGGTTGTATAAAGTCTTCATCAGAGTCCTCAGTTACCTCACCATCATCCTCTTCCTGCTCAAACTCTGGCAAAGGTGCGAAGGTCCTGTCTGAGTAGATCTCTGTGAGTTTATCTTCAAAGTACAATGCAACTGCTTTCCCTGCCTGAGCTACTTCTGAATCAGCCTGCAAGCAAAAGATAGGAATATTCACCTATTGGTAATGCATAATCTTTCACCAAGTTTGCATGGTCTGAAAAGCTTACCTTCAAATTAATCTCTTGTGTTTCTGCATAAACTTGAACAACTCTCATCATCTAAAAAGGACACCAGAGTCAAAAAAAAAAAGGGAAATTATAATCCTTTCTAAAGTTATAAAACTGCATAGGATTGGCGACAAAAGTCAGCCATACTGGGGAAACAGATTATAAATGCTATAACCAGATTATAAGTGCTTTCTAAAATTCTACAGAACATGGAACCACTTTCTTTACAAAGTTATATTACTAAAGCTACTGAGAAACCTTAATAATGCCTCAAATTCTGAATTACTAAGGTCAATCTGAATAAAAACTGGTCTGAATACATCGATCTATTTAAGAGAAATACATTTGTGAAATGAATAATGGAAGAAATGTTGCTTTTAAAAATCTGCCAACTTTCAACCAACCACTTAATGAGAACTCCATCTGTATGACAATTTGTTAATCATAAATTATTTAACTATTACTAAAGCAGATAAAATGGACCTTCTTTCTGGCAAACAGTAGCTATAGTTCATGAAAGTTTATTTATTTAAAATAATCTAGGTGGATTAGAAAACAAGACAAAACCTTGGGACTGTATTAAGTGTTAAGTTTTACTCTGTTCTCTGTGGCACATTGCTTTTAAGGTGACTAGACTTTTCACCTAATAAGAACTTAAAATTTTAAAAAGTCACCTAGATACTTCCAGAGGTAGCTGTGAGTACATTTTAATAATTCGATGATTTATTTTAGTAATAGTCATATGGCACCCAAATTTTATCAGCAATAAATATGAGATTTTAGTATTACTTTTAAAAGACTTTGTGAATTGTCATCCAATTTCATTTTATTCTCCTATAATGAAAATTTTCCTTAACAATAGGAGACTTGACTTTTTCCAAAGATTACCAAAATTATTTCATTTAAAGAGGTATATATCACATTTCTTTTCAAGGTATGGATACCAAATCCTTATCCTCAAAATGAACAAACAAACAAACAAACAAAAAAACACACACACACCAAGTTAATGAAGGTCACACATTGCTAAAATCCAAAAATTCAACATTATATACTCTGGGCAACTGTTTAAAATGAGCTACCAGAGATTAGTTTATGATTTTAAGGTTCTACTTTTATATCATTAATAATAAAATCAAAGGACACCGTTACAAATGTCTTTCCTAAAGGTACCCAAAATGTAGACTGTTTGTAATCATTTCCCACAAAATACACTTAACTACAGACTACTTTCTATACTTATCTCAATCCTCAACTTGTTTAGGAAGGGATATTCAATAATATTCCTAATTTATTATATTTAAGAATATACTTCAAATTATACACAATAACACTGTTCTTTGGAGCTGTGGATGAAAATTTTACTTTTGACAGAATTGAAGCAGAAAAAAATTTAAATCAAATCAGAAAAATCACTTGGTAGGAAAAGCAAAATCCAAACAAAACAATCAAACAAAAACTAATAATCCAAAACTCTATAGTTTGGAAGCTAACATACTTCATTAAACCTTTCACAGTTCTTGAAGATCAAACGGACGTCAGCCACAAAGTCATCTGGGACTTGGTAGTGTTGGGAATGTTTTTTTTGAAGCTTCTTTTTCACAGTGGATAAATCCATTGGTTTCTTTATAATTTTATAGTAGTTTGGTATCTAAAAAAAAAACAAAAACAAAAAAACAAATATGGCTAGATAAGGATTCTCCAAAACTGTCAAACTTTAATTTGAAAATGCATAGCATATTAATTTTAGGAAAAAAATGTGTTAATTATCGAACCAGCTCCTTGCAAATCTGGGGTACAGTGAATATACTTTAAATCTTTGGCCCCAATCATATCATGAATATCAAATCATGTTCAAAATGTGTGGCAGTGTCCATGTTAATGAAGGCCCCAAATTTATATCTTTAATAAGTAGATTTGGAAAGAAAGCAAAGAGCAAGGATAGCCAGTCCCTAATGTTAAGGACCCATCTGGGTCATCAGAACTTTATGATTCCTGAAGAGGTTATTTCCAAATAGGAGAGAAAAAATGATTACAGAATGTATTATTATTACAATGATTATCTTTTAGAGGGTATAACTTTATATCACACGTACTTTGGACATTGCAACAGAAGAAAAAAAACTGTAATAGCCACTCCCCAAATTTTTTTTACTAACCATTTAGTGATCATGCTAGAAATTTCTGGCCCTCACTCTTGGCCAAACATTTGTATCCTTGGAAAATAACTGAACATGGAGAAACTATTTAAATAGTGCATGAGAAATAATTATTTGAAAGAAATTTTCTACTATAAAGTCCCTGAACTTAAAGACAGATTTCCTAATATCAGCTGATTATTATTTGCACAAAACATCTTCCTTGTGTCTAGACCTTTTGTGCTTTACAATTCATTTCTGAGTCTACACAGTATACAAGTCTACTAGTCAATATTCTACAATCGGTCTGGTATTCAATAGTATCTTCATTCAGCAACTGATGGCTAACAAATAAATGCCATAACATATTCTCATCTCATTTATGATGCACTGAGCACCTCTTGTATTGCTTTTGTTATGGGACTTTAGAGCCTTTATTCCTAACAAAAGTCCCCTTTAAGTTAAATAAACTGCACTGACTTACAAAATTTTCCCAGTCTTTTCTTAATCTTGACTTCTCGTGAAAGAGGGCTTATGTAGGCAGAGCCAGTGTGAAATTCAATTTTACAGGTTTATTCACATTAATACTTGCACAAATTGTTTTCTCGCCAACCTACAAAGCCTGTATTATGCAACTAGAATGTTAGAAATAATTTAGTACAATACTCTCACTGTACAGTTTAAAAAGGCAAAAAAATTATGTAATTTTCCCAAAGTTATTAGGATGGCTAATGGCAGAACTAAGAGAAGAAGGTGTCTTCTGACTCCTAGGTTTAAGACTATTTCCATTATACCTGTATCCCTTACAGCCATATTCAAAGTAAAAGAGAACACGGAAATTCAATCTATTAAGTTTTCATCACAGTGACATCTAAAAACAAACCTCAGTTTTAACCAGGGAATCTCACATCTCACATCTATTTGGCCCTACTGAAATTTCTAATTAATAAAAAAACACTTAAAATGTGATGAGGTACTATGCTAAACATTTTATATCGCTTATCATGTACAATCCTCTAAAGACCCAATGAGGGAAGAAATAGTATTAGAAAAGAAAATTCGAGCCTTGGAGAGGTCAAGGAGATTATTCAAGAAGCCTGAGTTTTAACACAAGGAGTCTGACTTCTTCACCAGGGAGGTACTAAGGTAAACAACTTACCGAAGCAGGAACTGGCTCCTGGAATTCAATACTTAATTCATGACAATAGAGGTAAAGCAGAAGACGTTCACATTTCTGGCCCCAAAAAAGAAAAGAAAACTCCTAATAAGTTTTTTTTTGCCTAATAAGATATTCTTAAGAACTTTATCACTATAAAGTATTATCATTACAACCTGACGATAAGCCTCCTACATGCTAGCTCTTCAACTGAACATACACCCAAATAAAACTGCCTGGTTTCCCATTTAGTTTTGAAACTATCTTCTGTTCTACCTTTAATGAACTTATCTAAGACAGAAGGCCTTTGTCCTTATCTGCTATTAACTCAACTATTTATACACATGGAAAGAAGTGAGAAAAGCAACAAACAGCATTCTGTACAACAATGTATAAATTACCTGGAAATCTATAAATTATCACAGTTGCTATTCATTGTAATGCTCTTAGGCAGGCTGGACATATGTTGTTATCCCCTTTTTTAAAAGGATTCCACTCAGGGTCAAAATTAAATAAAAACTATCTGTGTAGCTCTTTCTCAATCTGATTCTAGAATTTTTTTTTACACAATCAGAAATAAATTGAAATGCATTTTATATTTACAGTTTTCATTTGCTTAAACTTCTTTTAATAGTAAGTTGTATACTCTAAACACATTGTGTGCAGGTTTAAAAAGAACGCTATGAACAGCACAGGAAATGGACTGCAAGGGCCCAGAGCAGAATCAGGAAGCCCCATGCAAAGACTATCACAGCTGTGCAGATGGCAGGTTGCGACGGCCATCTCAAGAGGTCAAGGTTAGGGAAAGTAAGAAAATAGTATTACAGGCATTCCTGGTTCTTCTATTTCTCACAGATTTATGATTTGAGCAACAGAGATAAATGATGGCAATATTTAATAATGTAAAATACTGGGGGAGAATTTGCATGTTTATTCCTATTATTTGCATGTTTAGTGCTTTTGCTTTTTGAAGATGATTTTTAAAAAATCAACATTTTGGTTGGGGCTCTCACTGGTGTGCTCAATTGGTTGGGTGTCATCCCACAAAGCAAAAGTTCACCGGTTCAATTCCTGGCAACTGGTCAATGTTTCTCACACTCATGTCTCTCTCCCTCCCTTACCCTACCCTCTCTGCAAAAAAAAGATTTTGGTTGGGACATGTTAAATGAGAGAAAGATGGATATAACAGTCTAGAGCTGAGGGCTAAAGATTTCAGAAGTCATCAATACACCATTAGATAGGGAGCTTAAGAAATGAAAATGTGTCAGGTTACATGTATATTACACTTTAAAAAACTGTATAGCAAGACAACTACAGAATCCCTATACATCAATTTATTTGACACTTACCCTTTGGTCCACAGGACTTAATCCCTGTGCAGTTTTCCCCTTCTTACTATGTTGCAAATTGTCACAATCATATTCAACCTCTGGCTTCCCAATATCTCTGCAAAACGTGCATATCCAGTCCCCACTAAAGAGAAAAAACAAGCAATCAGTTCAAATATTTATAACAAAACTCACTCTAGAGAAGTTAATTCCCTAGAGGTTAAGACTAATTTGTTTTCTTCTTTCTTTTCTACTTATTTGGGGGGGAGGGGCGCGGTATTCTAATTTTGTCAAATCTCATAAAATGAGGTTGTATGATGAAAACTTTTCCCAGTCATTCTTCAATTGATTACCTTTTGGAAAGCAATATGAAACTGGTATCTTGGCATTCAAAAGGTTTTTTTCCATAGTACAAAGTTGATGATCAGTACTTGCAGCATAAGATCAATTCTCAGACCCCAGTAACTATAATGACCCCATATTCACAAACAAGAAAAGAATACAGGATGTGGAATTCCTCAGGTATTCTGTTCTGTATTAAATACATGCAAAATAAAACATTGTTTTCTCATGGCCAGTCAAAAGCCTAGATATCTCTCTCTCTCCCCCCTCCTCTATACAAGTACAAGCACATGCACATATACCCCTAATCTTTCTAAATCTGCTGTCTATAGATTGTTTACATCAGGATTTCTATCAAACCATAAACTCCAGCGAGTCATTCATATTCATTCTTCCCCCTGCCCTAACCATATATAAATTCATTCTAAGACTAGAGACTCTACTAATATGTGCCAACAGTTGTGATTCCTTCCAAAGCATCTGCCTTTGAGAGAAAGCATTTGGTGGCAGAACTCTAACATTCCAGCAGATGTTACTATTCAAAGAAAAAAAAAATATGAAAAGCCTTAATTTCAAGACCAAAATGCCAATGCTTTTCTTTTCTAAAATGGTAAAGAAAAAGAAGGCCATTATTGCATCTCTGGCAAATGATTATGCCTCCTAAGATTTAGGTAAGAATTACAATTCTTCAGAAAAATATTCTAGTACTACTTCTGTTATCTACCACTTTTTTAAGCCACAAGATTGAATTTTTCAAAACGGGTAATATAACTCCACTAAAATTACTGTTTCTCAGAAATCTAAGCGGAGCTCTGGCCAGTGTGGCTTAGTTGGTTGGAGTATCATCTCATAAACTGAAAGGTCATGGGTTCAATTCCCAGCAAGGGCACATGCCTAGGTTGTGGGTTTCATCCTGGGTCGGGGCACATACTAGAGCCAACCGATTAATGTGTCACTCACATCAATGTTTCTCTCCCTCTCTTTCTCCCTTCCTTCCCTCCTCTCTTAAATCAGTAAGCATGTTCTTGAGTGAGAAAGAAGGGGAGGGGAGAAGAAAAAATAAAAGAAATCTAATCATCTACAGACAGAAAAGAAGCTGGGTTTTCCCAAGAATACCGGTTTACTTTCACTTGAAAAGAAACCTAGGGTAAGGGCTGAGGAAGGGGAAAGGCTGAAAGAAGTATGACTCCACTATTTTGTGGTCTCTGAAATCAACTGAAGATAAAATTGTGTGAACATAAAATGTTAAATGGAAGGAAGAAAAGAGCTCTCCTAAAACAAACTCTACCACTTGCAGGTGTAGACAATAATCCCCCAAAATTTGTGAACTGCCCAAAGGAATTAGGTTAGTTCACTACAGTTACCACTAGACTACAGGTTCTGTAGCCCCAGCCCAACACATCTGTTCCATTGCATTAGCTAGCATCTCAGTTTGCCATGGGGTCAGTCTGAGGACAATGCTCTTTCTTTCTTTATTATTATCCTCCAAATTATTCACTTTTAAATGAGTAATTCAGTAACTGTCCATTCCAAAGCTGATAACTGAAAGATATTCCAACCAGATCAAAGGAAAGGTGTGAGAAATTCGCACACAGTGCATCAGGCAGGCACTACCAATTAACTGCTTCCAGTGGCCAAGAGGAAGTTATTGCTAAAAAACCTCAAGACACTTAAGGTGTTTTTTCTTTAAAATGCCTTCTGAGAGCTTTCAAACATTACAAAAGTAAGTTTGGGTAAGATCCAACAGTTTCCATGAAACTAATATTCATAAATAAAATCGTAATTGTAGACCATATGAAAATTAATGACAATAGATTTTTAAAAATTCAGCTTCAAGAGGAAATCTACTTTCTCCCACACCCCACACTCTTGCCCCTCATAATTTAGAATTTTATCTAATTTGTTTATATTAAGTATAAACTGAAGGACAAGAAATGATTTTTTATCACTGATGCTCCATTTAGATCATGGACATTTTATCATTCAGCTATTAGCTTCTCTAGAAGGTAACACCAAAGGAATAATAAAAAGGCCCGCATTTTACAGAAATACTATGTATGCATTGGTTTAGAAGGCCATTGGCCCTGAATAACTTTTTTTTTAGCATATGAAGATAGACAACAAAAAAATCAATTCTTTCACTGATACCTTGGAAAGCTAAGAAGTGTTGGAACATGACAAGTTAGATGAAAGACCTTTGGACATTTTTCACAGCACAAGAGATCCCCTCCATTTTGGCAGACAGCACACCAGTCTTCATTGGGGTCGTCATCTTTGCTGTTACCGTCTCCTCCCATTCTCGCCGACCTATGCATGAGGCTTCGAATTGAGGACTTTCCATTAACAAGGCTGCTGAGTCCTGACTGTTTGCAGCTCTCATTCGTATCTGTAGGCTCAGTTTTCACATGGTTTTCCAGGCCTGGTAATGCATCCAACTCACTTTCTAGGTGCAGGTTGGTTGAGAGAGGTGGTGTCAAACTACTCTCAGGACTGCTCAGCTAAAACAGAACGAGGACAAATTCTTGAAGAATCATTTAATCATTATTGTTTGCAGTATGTGTGTATTTAATACTTACGTCAACATACATACAGATATACTAACTTAAAATTATTTTGGAAATTGCACTAGTTACATAAAGGAATGAAATTAACCCCCAAATTATTTAGGCACATTAATTTATGATTTTAGGGAACAATCTCTGTAATACTGGTTCACTCAGATAGTAAGGAAAGTAATTTCACAGTTAAGCACACTGATTTGGAAGTAAGCATAGGGTTATGCTTTTCCCACACAGTTGACTTTGGTATGTTATTTTTTTTACACAAGAAGCTGCTGCATAGCTTTTGAGAAGCACTATGAAATAGTCTTCTGCTCACTTATCATTCTACAAATGTAGGAAGATTGTAACAATGTAAAAAAAAATCTTTTACCCTGTTTTGGGGGTACTTTCCAAACTAAGTTCTGGATGAAGAGGTGATACTGCTCCAACCAAGGCTAAATATGTGGCTGTCTAAATCTATATATACTGCTTTCAATATATAGGAGCTCGAGCTGAGATTTCCATGTGCCAACCACACAGAAAATGAGGCTTAAGTCTGGGCATAGAGAAAAACCAAGATTGAAATATCAAAACAAAGATGTCCTTGGGCCTTCTTTCGTACTATCTTATAAATTCTGTAGTGTTTCACCTGGGAACTCTAAAATGGTTAATAATTCATAAGCCAAAGGCAATCTTCCCATCACAAAACTCTCTGATTGTTAAACTTCTTTCATGTCAGCAGCCTTAATTCTGAACTTACATGCTGTGGAAAATAGCAAAGGACCATTTGTGGCCTAAGACTCAATGGGACTACTAAAATGATTAATAAATTCAGAGTAAGACAGGACCTGATTTAGAATCATGGCAAAAATACTGACCAATTACAAACTAAAAGACAATTTGAAATAAGTCCTTAATTCGTGCAGACTTTTCTGATTAGGAAGAGATATTTGGCCTGAACTTAGGCATAAACATTCAAACATACATAAACGTTGACAGACGCACTGTTCCGTCTAACACACGCAGACGGAGACTCCCTGGCAGGCGCGGGGGACTTTACCATGCAGGCGCTCCTCCTGCCATCCTCTGTCTTCTCTTGTTTCACAGCTCCTGAGAAGCTACATATTTCATCTTCAGTCCCAGGTTCTTGCTTGACCTTCACTTGATCAGACTTGAAACTAAGACTTGTCTTCTCAGCAGTTCTTCCTGATGACCCACAGCTAATAAAAAAACAACAAAGGCCACATATGTTTGACTGTGTGGTATATAAAAGTAATGATCATTAATGTGAAAACAATGTATTAACTTTAAGATCATAAGGACACGTCATAATGTTGTTGAGAGGACTGTGGTATAAACTTAGCTTCCAATTCTTAAAAATGTAGATCAAACTTTCAGAAGGCCTTACAAACACCACGTTATGATCTGAGGCACTTACACTAAATCATGTAGGAAGTCTAGTCAACAATAGTTTCCCCAGGCTAATAGCATAGAATGTTGGTGATTGCTTCTCTCTATAAAAGTAGTTTCAATTCTTCTCTACCCCCAAATATCTGAAGAACATAACATCAACAGTAGTTCATGGAGCCTCCTCAAAGGAACTGCCACTTTAATGTTTGAGGGCAGGGGATTGGGGAAAGAGGAAAACAAATAATAAAGACTCCAGAAAGTCCTTATTTGAAATCAATGTAATGATACATGACTAATCAGTTCCATCAAGACCATGAGGCAAAACCACTGGCAAGACAAAGTGATTAACTGATAAGACTGTATTCCTTCTAATAATGAACTTTTTTTCCACTCAATTCATACTTTTCTTCTAAAACTACTGATCATTAACTTAAAAGTCAAGCAAGTGTTTAAAAGGACCAGTCTTCAAAAATGCAGGTACACATATACATACAAAAAATTCATAGAGCCTAAATCTTTCCTGCATTATAATAAATTATTTATACTAAAGAGTAAAAACCAGTCGACATTATTATATTATCTTAAACATACTCTTAGTACTGTCCACCAAAAAGGCAGAAGAAACTGAACAATTCAGTAATAATGAATACCCCTAGGACCTAGAAGATTGTCTCTAAGCACCATTTCCTCACTAACATGACCAGATTTCTCAGAGAAATAGCTGATTCCAGGTCTGAGGCAGGAAATTTTCAAAATGAACCTGGAACATCATTTCATATGAAAAAACAAGGAAGCTTTCAGAGACTTCTGGGGTTATAACAAAACAACTAAAGGGGCCAACTTTAAAAAGCTCTGACAAGCCAAAAATAGAAAACTTTAAGCATCTATAAAAATAACATCTATAATGATTTAGGACATATAAAGTATGTTTAAATATGAGTTGATAAATTTAAAAATAATTAAACTCATTGACCACTGTGGGAGGGTGCTGGGAAATCAACTCATTATAAAAACAGGTAAATAAAGAGAAAGAATTGACTCATTCAGCCTTTCCTATAACCGAAGAGACGACGGCAAAGTTTCTCTTTACAGAAATAGTTTAAAATAATAAACAAAGAAGAAATAATACAATAATCTAAAACACATCATTTTTCAACTAGTTAAAAGAGACAATGAATATTAATGGCTGTTATCACAAAACAAACAAAAACGAACCAGACATTATGTGCACCTTGCGGGAGTACACACCACCACCAATGAAGTATTCTCTCCTACCCTTTCCCCCAAATCAAACTAAATCTAATCAAACCTTCTGATCTAAATAATAATATAGAGAAAAAAAACAGCGGGCAGTGTGTTCAAACAGCAAAGTGGGGGAAACACTAAGAAGAACAGTACACCTCAAAGAACACTGATTCTAACTTCAACATATCTGTTGGTGGCAATGTAGAGCTTATTTGAATCTGAGTCAAAGAAATCTTTTTTTTAAAGGCATTTATAGGAAAAATTGGGAAATCTGAACATTAACTGGATCTCTAATGATATTAAAGAACTATCTGTTAAATTTTTTCTAGGTGTGATAATAGTTCTGTAGCTATACATTTTTAAAATCCTTGTATCTTAAGTGATATATTCTGAGGTAGTCACAAGTAAAATAAGATGTCTGAGATTTGTTTCAAAATAATCCAGACCGAGAGAGAATGAGTGTCAGAGTGTAGAAGAGTAAAAGTGGCCATAATCGTTGAATTAAGACTGGTAATTATTGAAGCTGGGTGGTAAGTATGTAAGAGTTCACTGTGATAGTCTGCTTTTTTAAAAATGCATTTGAAATATCTTAATAAAAAAGAAAAAATATAGCTACTGGTAATGTAATACTCACCTGCCTCGACTGCCAGTACTAGAGGTACTAGGGGGTCTCACAGGTGTGTGTGAATTGGATAAACCTGCAAATAACAAGTTAAAATGAATATCAATGCAGATAAGAATAATCAGAATTCTACCTACTAATTACAGAATTAAAGATAATCATAATACAATTTATTAGTTCTTACAAATCAGACACAGACTTGACTTCAGAGCCAGGTGCGGTATCTGGAACGGCTAGCAGCCCTCAACCAGCCCCTCTCAGCTGAGCACCTTCTCAGAATTCTCACAGCAGCACTACCCGGTCAATGAAAACTACGCCGATATAAGGGGAAGGTATCTGCTGTCTTGCCCCAAGACATCTGGTAAATATACTCCTTAGATTCCTATTATTTATTCTTTATTTTAGAAGCCCTAGAATAATTTAAATTAAACCTCAAAAATTACATGATTCAAAAAAAATGTATTAATGGTGCATCTCATGCAAAACCCTAATTGAAATTTGAACTATTCTTACTCTAAAAATAATGAGGTGGTCTGTTTTAGTAAGAAAAAAGTAACAGCGAACTTTCACCAGAAAAATATATTCTGTGACTACTCGGCACCATCAATTTGTAGGATGTTGCTTCAGTCATTCACTCACGGCAAGAAGGTCAATAAAACCACCAGGATTTTGGAAGAGAGCTGTATTTCATGGAGTTGATTAGTCATATTTCAACAGTTTCCAATATATTTGTTTTTGTTTTAGAATTACAATTTGAAAATTCACTTGCCTTTCCGTAACTTTTTAAAACAATTTTTTCACTTTTCATTATTTTACAAAGTGTTTTAAACTTGGGTTGAAACCAAAGAACTCTTCAACTGATGATCTATATCACGAAACATAAGACATGGGAAGTAAATGCCTCCATGAATCAGAAAGGAACATTAATAAAGCTGGGGGTGGGGGGAGCAGTACGCTGGAGCCCTGAGCTACAGATAAACTACAAATAGAAATCCATATCCCTTCAAGTTAGCTAAAGACTGCCAACAGTATTTGAAGGAAAAATAATTAGAAAGAGCAATCGGGGAAAAAATACGGTATAAGACTGTTAATTTTGTATGTCGACCTGGCTAGAATATAGTACCCAGTTGTTTGGCCAAAAACCAGTCTAAACATTGTTAGGAGGGTATTTTTAAGATGTGATTAACACCTAAATTAGTAGATTTTGAGTAAAAATGATCAACATCCTAAATGAGCATGGGCCTCATCAAATTCGTTGAAGACTTTAACAGAAAAAGACTGAGATCACTAGAGGAACAAAGAATTGTGCCCCTAGACTCAAGACTGCAACATCAACTCTTCTCTGGGTCTCCAGCCTGGCAGCCTGCTCTGCAGACTTTGGGCTTGCCAGCCCTAACAATCACATGAGCTTATTCCTTAAACTCTCTCCCTCTCTCTCCCTACACATACACACATGCACATTTCCTACTGATTCTCTTTTTCTGAAGAACCCTAACTAATACATACACTGAGAGATACTTTTTGGAAAAGAAGTGAGGCAGTACCTCCGCTGGTTTTACCTGATGATCCTGGAGATAGGGCAGAGGGGCCTGGAGAGGGATTCATGGTGCTTGTAGGCTGTGGGGGTAGGTGACTGCCTGAGATGTATCTACTTAGTAGATTATCTAAACTACTTGAACCAGCATCTTCCAACTAAAGAAAAAAAAAAGATAAATTTGCTTTGATTAAACAGAGACGTTATTATTTTTATTAGGATAATCACTTATGCTCAGTTTCCTAATAAACAGATTATCCTGCATCTAAATTGGTTTAACTGTTGCTTCCATAGGCGCCCGGAGGGACCCCACAGTGTAAGTTTCTATGAACAAAGCTGTAACAACAGTATTCAACAAATGCCCAGCAGATCAGGACAAACCCAATAATCCACTAAATTCTTTATGTTCTATTATGAAAACAGCGCTAACACACTCTGACATGTTTGCCTTTTCTCAAAGGTGATGCAAGACCCTGTTTTTCCTCCATCCTTGTCCCATCTTCCTCCCTTTATTTCGACATCCAAAGATCTCCTGGAATCATTCACCTCAACAGAAATTTATCGTCAATACCTAACTTTAGAGCTTTGAGTTGTGGTTATACTCAAGAGAAAGCCCTTAGCTTGAGCTATAAGGTCCCTTATTACACAGAAAGGTGTAGTCAGCAGGCTGTGGGCTAAGGCCAAGAGGACCTGGCACTGAGATTTTAACCTGCTTTCTAACTGAACACCAGTTTCCTATCTTTGAAACATTCCCCTACCCTGAGAACTGTGATGAGGATGAGAAAATATTTATGTAAGAAACAATAAGTAGATACTATTTAATTATAAAAATCACCTTAAGTATAAATTTATACTCTTCCATATAAGAAATGGTCAAATTATTCTTAAATAACTGTTAACCTCCTTGCTTACTGATGGGACTGCATCCACACTTGTCCCTTTTAATCTTCTCTCCCACTGGAGGCAATATCACTTTTTGAAAACTCAACACATACATTTACTACTTGCTCTCCTTCCCTCCCAAAATACATCGTGATTTTCCTGACTATAACACAGGAAAACATGGCATCAAAGCAGAAACTTTGGAAAAAACTATAAATATATACACCAACGTAGAACTGAACTGACAGAAACATGAACAGAATAAAGAGGCTCAAAACATATTACAGGCAAGGGAGGGCTCTCCTAAAAAGTAAATAGGTTCAATATCCTTTTATAATAAAATTTATCAACAAAGTGGGTGCAGAGGGAACATACTGCAACATAACAAAGGCCACAAATTACAAGTCCATGGCTAACATCATACTTAACAGTGAAAAGCTGAAAGCTCTTCCTTTAAGATCTGGAAAAAAAGACAAGGATGTCCACTCTTGCCACTTTTATTCAACATAGTGTTGGAAGTCCTAGCCATAGCAATTAGGAAAGAGAAATAAAAGGCATCTAACTTGGAAAGGAAGAAATAAAACTATCCTTATTTTGCAGATGACATTATATATAGAAAATCCTAAAGACTCCACCCAAAAACTGGTAGAATAAATGAATTCAGTGAAGTTGCAGGATACAAAATCAATTAGGATTAGAGTAACTAATCCTAAAATTTATGTGGAACCCCAAAAGACTGAATAGCCAAATAAATTTTGAGAAAGAACAAAATGAGAGGTATCATACGCCCTGATATCAAACTATGCGACAAAGCTGTAATAATCAAAACAGTATGGTACTGGCATAACAGATACAGATCAATGGAATAAAGAACCCAGAAATAAATCCTTGCATATATGGTCAACTAACCTACAACAAAGGAGACAAGGATATACAATGGGGTAGACAGTCTCTTCAGTAAGTGGTACTGGGAAAACCAAACAGACACACGCAGAAAAATATAAAACTGGACCACTTTCTTACACCACATAAAAATAAACTCAAAATAAACTTAAACACTTAAACGTAAGACCCAACATCATAAAATTCCTAGAAGAGAACATAGGCAGTAAACTCTTTGACACCACTTGTCTCTTTTTGGATATGTCTCCCTGGGCCAGAGGAACAAAAGAAAAAATAAACAAATGGGACTATATCAAAGTAAAAAGTTTTTGCACAGCAAAGGAAACCATCAAGGACACAAAAAGAAAACCTAATAAATGGGAGAAGATATTTGCAAATGATACATCCAATAAGAGGCTAATATCCAAAATACATAAGGAGCTTATACAACTTAACATCAAAAAAACAATCCAATTGAAAAATGGGCAGAGTACCTGAATAGACATTTCTCTAAAAAGGATATACAAATGACCAACAGACATATGAAAAAAATGTTTCAACATTAATCACCAGAGAAATGCATATTGAAACCATAATGAACTATCAATCACTGCATACATGTCAAAATGTCTATCATCAATAACTCGTAGTAAGTAACAAGTGCTGGCAGGAAAAGGGAACCCACCCTGGTATACTGTTGGTGGGAATGTAAACTGGTGTAGCCACTATGGAAAATACTATGGAGATTCCTCAAAAAATTAAAAACAGAGCTACCATATACGATCCAGCAATTCCACTTCTGGGTATTTATCTGAAGAAATCAGAAACACTAATTTGAAAAGATACGAATCCCTATGTTCATTGCAGCATTACCAGTAATAGGCTGGAAGCAACCTACGTGTCCATCAACAGAGGAATGGATAAAGAAAAAGTGTATTTACACACAATGGAATTATTACTCAAAAATAAAAAATGAAATTTTGCCATTTTGTAACAACACGGAGGAACCTCGAGGGTATTATGCCAAGTGAAATAATCAGACAGAACAAGACAAAAACTACATGATCTCACCTATATGTAGAATTTGAAAAGAAAAGAAAACAAAAACAAATCCACAGATACAGAAGAGGTGGTGGGTAGGCAAAATGGGTCAAGGGAGTCAAACTTCCAGTTATAAAATTAGTAAGTCATGGGGAGACAGTATGTAGAGCATATTGACTATAGTTAATAATACTCAAGTAATACCATACTTGAAAGTTACTAAGAGAGTTAATCTTAAAAGTCCTCATCACAAGAAGAAAAACTTTTGTAACTATGTATGGTGACAGATGTTAACTAAACTTATTGTGGTTATCATTTCAAAATGTATACAAATATCAAATCATGAATGCAGTACATCTGAAACTAATATAATGTTCGATGTCAATTATACCTCAATTTTTTAAAAAATAGGCTTTTCTCATTAATGAAGTCTTTTTCATTAAACACCTCAAAGAACCTCATGTCAGAGACATAAAGTGCTGACTGTGAGAGTAGGCTACAGGCTGACAAGAAGGACAATTAAGGCATTTTAGGAGTTCTGCCTGCACAGTGGTCACAGCTATTAGCCATGATTTACTTGGAAACTCTAATTACTGGAGAATCCCTCGCTGCAACTAAAGTCACCTGGAGGATTTGGGAAGAGGGACAGCTATTGTACTAATATAAGCCACAGAGGAAGTTGGGCCTCGTCTCACCTAAATATAAAAGAGGGAATGACTCAAAACAAACATGGAAGTCCCGTGTTACCTACCTCTACTCCCACTCCTTTATACTCTCCAACCTGCAACTGTCTCTCTGCCAGAAAGACACCCCTACAGCTGGAAGGGTGAACAGATTAGGGAGAGGCAAACCAGGAGTACAAGGGCTGCCCTGAGACCACTGTCTCTCCAACAGGGAGATGCTGACTGAAGCATTCATCTCCAGATTTCATTAGACATGGATCAAGTCGCCATGAAGCTGGAAGTCTAACTAGAAAAACAATTCATTTACTCACTAAACCAATGATTTTTGAGTGTCCTGAATAGCTGTACAGAACATGTGTGATATAATAATTTCTATGAATTAAAAGGAAAAGGACAATCCATGAAAGAAATACAAATAATCAGTGAACCTAAGAAAAGATAACCAACCATGAAAATAAATGTAAATAAAAATCAATGTCATTTTTATCTATTACACTGACAAAGACGGAAGACTAATCTAGGCAATGCTGGACATGTAATATAAAAACGAGTACTCTAAAATATTTAAATTTGCATGCAAATATCAGAAACACAGTTCTCCCAAATTTCATAATATCCAACAGAGTATCTAAATAGTTACTAATATGCCAAATACAAAATATTCTTTACAAAAATATGAAAGAAATCATTAGAATATTATACTTGTTGATCATAATCTGAACAGAATCTAATATCTACTTAGACATTCAAAAAGTATTCAAGCTGATTACATATTCCCTCAAAGTCAAACTACAACATGCATTATCATGAGGTAGTAGAACAAAATAAAAAATAATTCAGGTTGAGACAATTGTACATAAATCAAATTCTATTCTGTACTGGGTGGCCATAATGATCAGTATTAAGATATGTTAACAAATATCCAAAATTGCCTTTGTGTTTATTGCCTGTTTGTGTTACACGGTTAATGCTACCTCATCTCTTCCTGTAGAGCTTCCCCCAGGTTTCCTTTCACTATACCATGTAACTATAGGACAGGAGAAAAAGTGATTCTTCTAGAGATAATAGGTTTGCTTCCCTTTCTATTTTTGGTTCATATGGTTAACTATTTCTTACTGTGTTTGGCCTTGTGTGGTAACTCCTCCAATTCCTTTTAAAAATAAGTGACAATAACAAGTGTTAACAAGAATGTGGAGAAACAGAAATCCTTGTACACTGCTGCTGAGAATGTAAAATGCTGCAGCCACTGTGGAAAACAGTTTGGCAGTTCCTCAAAAACATAAACATACTCACAATATGACCCCGAATTTCTACTCCTAGAAATTCAGCACAGAGAGCTGATTGCCTGTGTCCACATGTTCAAAGCAGCATTATTCCTATCAGCCAAATCTGGAGACCCAAATGTCCATCAACTAATAAATGGATGAACAAATGTGGTATATCCATACAATGGAATATTCTGCCATAAAAAGGAACTGAATACTGATATATGCTACAATATAAATGGACCTAGAAAACAACGAAAACATTATGCTAAGTGAAAGATGCCAGTCACAAAACGCCACATATTCTATAATGCCAGTCATACAAAATGTCCAGAATAGGAAAATTCATAGAAACAGAAAGGGAATTAGTGGTTTCCAAGGGTTGAGAGAGGGAAATGGAAAGTGGCTGCTAATGAGCACAGGGTTTCCTCTGGGGTGAAAAATGTTCTGGAATTAGTGGTGATGGTGAATATACTAAAAACCAATGAATTGTACATTTTAAAAAGTTGGATTTTATGGTATGTGAATTACATCTCAATTTTTAAAAGTATATACTTTAATAAATCTGTAAATAAAAATTAGGTTAGCATGTGTGCAAGGAAGAAAAAGTTCATCAGAGGAGGCATGGATTCTATTCTCCTACCCACTTTAAAAAATGAAACATGCGAGGGCACACATTCCTGAACTTCTTGATTGCACAGCCCTTTTGGGCAAGATGACAAGGAAAAGTGAGCCTACTTCCCTTATGACGTCCAACTTTTCAAGGACATGGAGCATCTACACTTCCACCATCTGGTCTGTGTGAGAAAGAACTGAGCCAAGGGCCAGAGTGACCCTGGCAAATTATGTTAAGTTTGACATTGGCAACTTCCCTTCTCCCTTTGAAAGTTTCTTAAGAACTGAAACCAAGTCTTGTTTATCTTTTTATTGTTATTGCCCAATGACTTTAGCACACAGAAAATGCTTAGTAAAACATGAATGGCTGACTCCTTGAACACTGCACATGCCGCTCTCTGAGTGCGCAAAGCCTCTCGATACTGCTATCCTTCCAGGTCTCCAGTCCCACACTACACTACCTTCCTGCTCTCTCTACAAACAGCAGGGAAAGCGCTGCACTGGTAATCAGGAGCTGGGCTTTTCATTACAACTTTCCCATTTACTGAGCGACTCTGAGAAAGTCACTAACCTCTTACTCTCATCCATAAAATAGAGATACTGCCGATCATATGAAATGATTTCAAGTATTAAACTGATAAACGGTCTGTGAAAATTCTTTTTAAACTATAAGCTTTTAACTTAACAATTTCATTTTTTTATAGATGTATTCCAAAATTTTCCTCATGTATAGTCAAGAACTCTCAGTACCAACACAACTATTTGCTTAGCCAATAAAGATCTCCCCTAACATTAGGAAATCAATCAGATTAAGAGAATTTACAGTGAATTAGTGGTTTTGAAACAATATTGGAATTATAGAAACACGCTTTAAAAATCATAGAAATCCATTAATACATTAAAATATTAAATAGCAGCAATGGACAATCAGGGCCCTCATGTCTCAGTAGTTTCACCACTGCTACTTGCTCCCATGGCAACTCATGAGATGACTCAGTATATATCTTCAAAGGTTATATTTACATTTATAAAATGCTGCCCTGGCTGGTGTGGTTCAGTGGGTTGAGCACTGGCCTGTGAACCAAAGGGTCGCTGGTTCGGTTCCCAGTCAGGGCACATGCCTGGGTTGTAGGCCAGGTCCCCAGCAGGGGGTGCGCAAGAGGCACCCACACATTGATGTTTCTCTTTCCCCTTCGCTTTGTCCCCCTCTCTAAAAATAAATACATATTTTAAAAATAAATTAAAAATAAAAATATAAAATGCTTTTGAATCAAATGAATTAACGATATTTCAGAAAGCACTAAAAGACTTTTCTTCAGTAAAAAGTTACCGGTGAAAGGTTCAGGATGCCTCAGAGGCCCTTCAGGTCCCACGTTCTCCTCACCATTACGTCCTCTCATGGTAAATACCCAGCGTCCTGATGTCTAGACTTTCCAACCTCTTCCTGCCTCAGTCCAACCTGTTTGCACAATAAACCTAATAGAAATTGACAAAGATTTGACCACATTTTGGTCCTGGGTCTCCTCTCTGGATCCAAACCACACAAGGAGGGCTTCACCTAACACAAGGTTTACCTGTTGGCAGGTGATAGAAAGATAAGCAATTTACGTCTAATAACTTAAAAATACTGAGGAGTGCTAGTTTTAGTACATGTAACTTCTAAAAATTCAAATATAACCTACTCTTTGGAAAATTCAAAAAAAAAGTTTGCCTAAATTTTAAAAACGACCAGAAAAATATACTCAAATTCCCTAATTAACACGCGGCTTTAAGTCTTTTCATTCAACTTAAATACCAACCTGTATGGGTGGAATATCTGGCAGCGATGGAAGGTTTTCTGGATTGGTAACTGAAGGGATTAGCTCTATTGCTGTAACAGATGGGCTGGTGGGACCGCGGTTTGCACTTGCCATAGTAGCTGTAGTAGGGCTGGTTGGGTTGATTGTGTTGTGTGCCGACACAACAGGGAAGGGTCCAGCATGCCCTGGGTTTGAGTGCTGTTAGGAAAGAAGATGTCATTACTTAACCAGCCAAGATAATCCTAATATGAATAAATCTTGACAACAGTTTTTAACTCAGGAAAGATATACAAGTGTCTGATACCTATGGCTGAGAAACAAAGAAGCCTTCTCAAACTTCCATAGGTAAAAAATTGTAATTCTAACTTAGCCTTTTCCTTTTTCTACTCATTTTTGTGTAGTATTTAGGAAAAACAGACTTGGCAATAATTTTCAACCTGTCAGTCTGCCAACATGATCTTATTCAGAACAAAGGTGCATGTAAACAGATGATCTGGAAGCTGCCAAGTTTCCATACAGCATACCAGGAAAACTACTGTTCTGTCTATAGTCCTCTTTGACTCTTTTGTCTTTTTAAAAATAAAAGTAATTAATTGTGTAATTGTGTACTGTATAACTGGCATGTTAGAACAATAAACCTACAAACAGAAATATGACATCAATTCCTGACTCTAATACAGTGTGACATCAACTCAGTAATATAGAAATGTGGGTAATAATGAATAAAAACGAGTATGTGTCTCATTGTGAGAGCTGTTATTAAGATCATTTAAGGTAACACAGATTAAAATCTTTGGGAAGTAAATTACACATATTAATCATTTGAAATATAAAAAATTTAAATTCTAACATTCAGGGATTTCTGTACGGGCCCTAAAGTATAAGGTCAATGTTCTTATAGGGGTTAGTCTGATTCTGTAGCTTCTGCACTCTTCCAAATGGTGTACCTGCCTCCTAGCAGTATTTGAAGGCTTTCCATACACTAAGGGATACATGGGTATGTGAACACTTCTAAGGGAATTAATGCCTAGATCCTCAACTTTTCTATGTACTTTTTTCTAAAGAAAAACCAATTTACCTAAGAATGTGTCGTGGTCTGCAGGGTCCTTTTTCACTACTTCTTTCGCAATTACCCTTTGCCACAAAAAAAAAAAATAGCAAACCTCTGACGCATTCCTAATCTTATCTAGCACAAAGCCCCGGGGGCTGGGGGGTGGGAGTGGAGACCCGCACACACAAGCGAGTGAGGGAACAGCAAAGGTACAAAGCTGTCAAGCTGTTGATCAAGTGCCTATCTCCAAAACCTGTGCAACTAGTCTTTAAGTGGGTTCTGATATATGATGAGCAAAAAAATTAAAGACGTGAAAAGCAGTCAACTGGTAAGATTTTTTTTTAAAGTTCCCATAGCTCATTGTGAGATTAAACTTTGATAACCTAGAAAATGTCCAAAGAATTAAGAAAAATTCATTTAATTCCCAGATACATATTTTTATGAACAAATTTCCCAAGTATCACATAAAAACAACAAAAAACAAGCTGGTAATAAAAATTGATGTTATATTCTGACTTACTCTAACAATAAGTAATAGGCGTACAAACATATAACTGGAAAGGGGGGAAGGGCTCCATTTAACTCATACAGAAATGAAGATCTTCAAGAATTTTATTTTTCATGTTTTCTAATATTCTTCAAGCATGTAAACATGTATGTTGTTTACACAATTGTATAAGAAAAATTATAATAAAAATTGGGTCCAAAGATAGTCATAAAATTTAATAATAGTCTTACTATCACTAGAAATTTAAGAATTTTTAAATTAAAAGACATTTTTCCCACAGAAAAATTCCAACAGATTGATTTATAACTTTATCAAACATAAATATACATATTATGAGCTACAGGGGGAGTAATAGAAAAGATAGTCAACTCCCAGGAAAGAAGGGAGTGTAAAATGTTGATTTCAAAAAGACTCTGCTCCCTGGCCAATGTGGCTCAGTGGCTGGAGTGTTGTCCTGTAAACCAAAAGGTCGCAGGTTCAATTCTCAGTCAGGGCACATGCCTACATTACATATTCAGTCCCCAGTCAGGGCACACTTGTGAGGCAAACAATTGATGTTTCCCTCTCACATCAATGTTTTTCTCCCTCTCTCTCTTCCTCCTTGGTCCTCCCTCTAAATTCAATGAGCACATCCTCAGATGAGGAATTACAGAGTCTGCCATGGTATTTGGGACAGTGGATTCATTCACTAGACTAAAAGAAGGGTTTTAGCCCTGGCTGGTGTGACTTGGTTGGAGCATTGTCCCGGAACTAAAAGGCTGTGGGTTCAATTCCCAGTCAGGGAGCACACTAGGTTTCCAGTTCAATACCCAGTTGGGGTGCTTACAGAAAACAACCAATCCATGTGTCTCTCTTTCTCTTTCCCCTCTTCTCTTTGTAAAAGCAATGAAAAAAAATATCCTCAAGATAAAAAAAGAAATTTTTAAAAAACGTGTTTCAGTTTATGTCAGTATTTACAATATGCCAGAAACAAATGATGTCCTTTGCAAATATTTACACTTAAACTTAAAATGAAACTTTTAAATGTCAATCTTCAAATATGAGGTAGCACGTACTTTTCAAAACCCTTTCCAGAAGTACTTGGGCCAAAAAATTGAAGGACCACTGCTCTGAGACAGTATTTGTCAACTTTACTATACAGATTGATCTGAGAGAGTTAAGAGTTTTACACATTTCTGAGTGCCCCCTCCTAGAAATTCTGATGCAGTGCGTATGGCTCAGAAGGTATTTCTGACAAGGTCTCTGAGTCATTCTGATGGTCTCTAAAGATGTCTTTAAAGAAACTTCACTCTGTTAAAAAATGAACTGCATTATTGTATAACTAAAAATCCCATGTAAAAGTAGCTTGATTCAAAATAATGTCCTCCTCCCTGAGCAGTGTGGCTCAGATGGTTGGGTGTTGTCCCGCAAAGCGAAAGGGTCACCAGTTTGATTCCTGGTTAAGGCACACGCCTGGGTTGCGGGTTTGGTCCCTGGTTGGGGTACTTAAACAGGAGGCAACCAATCAATGTTTCTTTCTCGCATTGATGTTTCTCCCCCTTTCTCCCTCCCTTCCCCTTTCTCTAAAAATAAATAAATAAAATCTTTAAAATCATGTCTCCTATATAAAGATAATCTACAATACTATTCAGGCAAATACTAGAAACGATGTCTCTAAATATATTTACTTTTAAGGGGAGGCATATCTGTATCCTGAGAAAAACAATATACATAGAGAGAAGCAAATACATATACACATAAATAAAATTAATAATGGCATAGTTTTGTTTTCAAAGTCTTTATGTATTAGGTTCAAAATGTCACTTTAAAAGAGCAAAAAAACAATTCAGGAAATAAAGTAAAAAGCGTTAAGTCATTCTCCTCATCTCTAGCCCTATGCGTCTGCTCTCAGTATACGTATGTATTTAAAGCATTAACTTACTCTATCCTGTGGTTGTGGATAAACAACAAGTTCCTTTGTTGTTTAATTCCATAAAATGCACTGGTTGGACTATATCAGGGGTTCTAAACCCATAGTGTATAAAAGGTTTAATGGTATCAAAGAAGCTCTTAAAATTAAATACAAAATGTTATATCTATGTGCATTTTTCTGGGACAAGAAGATACAGCATTAATCAATTCTCAAAGGTATCAAAGACCCTACCCTCCTCCCACCAACTGATTAAGAAAAACGGTGTCTTTTAGTTTTAAAATTGTATGGTTCTTACAAATGTAACTCTAGGCATACTTGTCTTTGGAGGTGTGGCTGCATCATGGAATATTGAGGGCCGCTGTGCCTGGGTATCCCTGATATTCGGGCAGCATTCTGAGCCAATCTCATCTGATGGGCTTGGAAAGATCCACAGTTCATGTTGTTTCTTTGCATTGCTTGCACACTGATCAGTCTAGGAGGCTACAAAAGGTAGAAATTGCATTTATATAATAATATTTTTATGAATTTATATTTCAAACATAAAATGTTATGGTAAAAATAATTCAGTCAGGATACATAAGAGCATAAAATAAAAAGCGTTAAGTCATTCTCATCTCTAGCTCTATGCATCTGCTCTCAGTGTATGTATGTATTTAAAGCATTAACTTACTCAGCTCTGGATTAACAGGTCTGATTTGGACAGGGGAGGAGAGGGTAGGAGAGGTTCAGTGATGGGAATGATTTCAACAAATGCCAAAAGAATGTATCAGAAATTAGGCAAAAATAAGCTGGCTCTTTGGCCCAAAACCACATTTGCAAAACAAAAAAATATCTGGTAACGAGGAACAAAAACTTGCGTACTAGAGAGTTAATTTTGTTTTACACGGTTATTCACTGTCCTTCCTCACAGTTCCCCAACATCCTTGTAATACCCAGAAGAAATAGTTAAACTCTGACCTTCAAGCTCTTTCCCTAGTCTATAGAGAAGGGAAAGACAAAGCTCATCTATCAAGGACAGCGTGTAGTCCTGATGTCTTCAAAATGTACATCAGAAATGTGGTGATGTAACACTCACCTGTTGTTGTAACATCTGAGGAGCTGCTTGTCGTGGGTGCTGCTGTGTTGTTGTTGTTGTTGTTGGTACAGGTGCAGGTGGTTGCTGCATTCTCATCTGCTGCAACTGCTGATGCTTCTGTGCATACACTTGTTGCTGCATGTGCTGGAGTCGAAGCTGTGCTAAGTTAATCTGTCCAGGGGTTTTATTAATGTGGTTTGTCCCTGGAGGAACTTGCCCAACTACAACATTAGGAGTATACCCAGGAGCTGGTTTACTCTCTATTACTAGATTACCTGAAAGATTTAAAAAATGAGAATGATTTGCATATAGTCAAATAAATCATCTACTTTGTGGATTAATTACTATCTTTTCCTCTTTCCTCTGAAAACTCTCAGAACTCAAAGCTTCCAACAGTGTGCTAAGGATGGGAGCTAGGTTTAAAGATGATAAAGATCAGAAATCTAATATAGTCCAAAGCCAAATAACTGACTTGATTATTCAGAATATATTCTTTATTTACATAAATGTACAGGAAATTAAAGACCTAAAAGGGATGTTATTAGAGGAGGCCCATTTAGTCAATCTAAATCAATTCTCCCTTGACAATATTCAAGACTAAAGATTACAATGGCTGATTCCATCTGCCTTTTAATTGCCAAAATGTGCAGGGCAGAGTACTACATTGCTACAAAACTGTCTCCTGTGGAAATATTGTCCTTCTGTGGAATTATGCCCTTAGAAATGACAATTTTCCTTACTTCTCACAGAGGTCACTGCTCTCTAAAAAAAGAAGGAAATTTCAGGAAGGTCTGATATAAGGTAGAGTTGGCAAACCTTTCCTGTAACAAGCCAGATAGTTTGGGCTTCATAAGAACTGTCGTATATTCTTTTTTATTTGTTTTTACATCCCTTTAAAATGTAAAAAACAAACTTTGCTACCATGTCTCACAAAAACAGTTTGCTGATGCCTGATCTAAGGCTACAGACAAATTTGAATATACAAAGATTACTTTTTTAGAAAAGGCCATCCTTCTGCTTTTACAGCTTCCAATGGTAAGGATTTGACTATTTTAAAAGTGAGTTTACTCAATCTGTACACAACTCTAATTGCTAGAAAAGTTTTTAGGGTTTTGCCTTATTTTACATTGAGCTATTGGTCTGCGGCTCTCTAACCATCACCTAAGGTCCTTAGGTCCACACTGTGGAGTAACAAAAGCAAAGTCCATCTCTCTTCCACGTGAAAACAGCTACTCTTATCTTCCAAACATTCCTCAGGACATGACTTTCGAACACATCCGCATCCTGGATATCCTCCGTTAGAGGACGATTTGGTACAATTAATATACAAACTACTAAGCATCTAACATACTCTTCCAGAGAATCAAGACCCGTTTGCTAAGTTTTCAATATGAAACAGGCAATGTCAATTTAAAAGATGTGGGGAAATGTTTAGAATGATACACATTTTTAAAAACTATACAGGAGACTCAACATTCTTAAAAACATAATGAACATAGTTCAAGTGCGTTTCTAATGATAATCATATTTTCCAAGAAGTTTATATGTTAGAGTGAAGTTAAAAAACTTTCAGTATCTAAAATTTGCTTTAGATGCTTCCTCCTCCTAATTCAGTGTTCCAAGTTATATTCATAAAACTAATTATTTCTCACCTAAATTGACTACATTCTTTGCCCAGAAGGTGGGATCACAATGGAAACGTATTGCTCCATTAGCAGCAGGGACAGGATCACAACGAGCTTTCAAAATATGGCGCAATTGAAAAGTAATCTTAAAGGGAAAAAATTCACATTAGTCTTAAAATTAAGTATCACTTGAAAAAACATACAAGATAAAGACATAAAAGCTCATGTAGCCCCACAGTGCCAGTCTCAAAAGAGACAATATCAGTGTTTAAAAGTCTATCTACATTAGCAATCAAATGCACATGCTTGAATTTCTGCCGTTCTGATGATGGTATCTTCAAAATAGAATACTATGTGATTCCACTTATATGAAATTCTAGAAAAGACAGAAATCAGACTAAGAGTTGCCTAGAGCCAGGGGTAGAAGGGAACAAGAAGACTTTCGTGGGTGATGGAGAATTTCTCTATCTTGATGTGGTAGTGAATATATTTGCCAAAATTCAAAATCTACACTTCAAACAGGTGCAGTTCACTAAAAATATAATAAAGTCAACTTAAAAAAAAGATCCAATGTGTCTCACCAGTCGTTTGCTGTACAGCAGGGCTGTGCTGCTGCCACTTGCAATTGCCCAGTTTGTGAAGTTCATAACATGCTTCACCTGCCGGGACAGGCCCGTGATGTCATTCTGCTGCTGTAGTAACTTCATCTGTCTTTCTTTTGTAACATTCTGAAACAAAACAAGAGGTTCACCACAGAATTCTGTATGAAAAAAAATCAAGTCATAATTTCAATCGAAAATGAACATATTACCTCTTATTTCTTTTTTAAAATGCGAATGTTACAAACAGAAGCTAAAAATGGGTTAACAAGCTCCTCATTATTCAATGAGCCAATAATCAAAGGAAAAGTTACTCACAAAAATGGGACTAAAACTTAATTCTCTAGCTAAAAAGGACATTCCATATAGAGAAATTACTGTTACTTATATATTTTTTTCTTCAAAAGATGAAATGTCTTTGTTAAAAATAGTGTTTTTCTATTAATGCTAATCTAGCAATTTTCAACCAGAGTGCTGCAAGAATTTTTCAAGCATGTAATACCTGACTATTTAGTCAGGGGCACTGACCTCTTTTCCCTTAGAATGTCAAATTAAAGAATGACAACATACCCTCACTGGTATGGCTCAGCTGGTTGGAACACTGTCCCATAAACCAGAAGGTTGTAGGTTTGATTCCCCGTCAGGGCACATGCCTCGGCTGCGGGTTCATTTCCCACTTGGGGCACGTACAAGAGGCAACCAATGGATGTTTCTCTCTCACATTAATGTTTCTCTCCTTCTCTGTCTCCTTCCCTTCCCCTCTCTCAAAAAATCAGTAAGTATGTCCTTGGGTAAGTATAACATTTTTTTTTTTAATTTTATTTTAATGACAACAGCCAACACAATAATAGCCATCCAGTATGAATGATTCAAAATTATGCCTTTTTTTTTGTCAGATCAGCAAAAATATTTTTGGGTGTGCCACAGAATTTTAGTAATTAGTTTATGTGTGTCATGAGATGAAAAAAGTTGAAAGTCGCTGGGCTAATTAATACATTATATGGAGTACATGGCATAAAGAGCTGACCTTTACAAATAATATTATATAATCTTAACTTACTATATTCCTCAGGCCAAAGAAAACTTTCTGTTACCAGTGCCCCCTCCTGGTATGGCATGAGGGTGGTATTCATATCTCTTCTTTTAAATATTCAGACAAAATGAGAAAGATGAATTCCAGAGCTCTAAGAGTAGAGATTAGGGAAACTTTTGATCTGACAAAAGCTTATAAAGAAAAAGTGAGTATGTGAGGGTTGAAGGAAAGACTAATTTGGAAGAAATGCTACAAAGGAAAAATAAACTGCTTTCTGGGAAGTAAAACTCCCAGAAAGGATAGGTGATATCCTCTGTACTGTGACATTGGTTCAGCATACCAAACAACCTATCTACTTCGTTTTTAAATACTCTTTATTCACCTTGGTTAACTAGACAATTTTTTCCTCAGGAGACAAGTTTTTCATTTTATAACGTAAATCAATGAATAACAGTATCCAACTGAGAGAAGTTTGACAACTTCACTGGAAATCATGCCTCTTATAAAACTTAGGACAAACTCTATTTTACAAAGTTTTGGAACACATTATACTAGAAAACATCTGTTATTTCAATTATCAGCATGTGCCCCGGCTGGTATGGCTCAGTGGATTGAATGCCAGCCTGCGAACTGAAGGGTCACCGGTTCAATTCCCAAGCAGGGCACATGCCTGGGGTGCAGGCTAGGTCCTTAGTTAGGGGCATGTAAGAGGCAACCACACATTCATGTTTCTCTCCCTTTCTCTAAAAACAAAGAAATAAAATCTTCTGAAAAATAAATAAATTATCAGTATGTTAGGAGTGTGTGGCAGATTTACTACTAGGTATTTATGTATATTTCAGCATTAAGAGGCATCTTTTAATTCCAAAGTTCTTGAAATGGTTTAAAAACATTATTTTAGACCTATAGTTAAAAATGTACTTACAGTAAGCTAAAAGGTTATCAAAAATAGTTGCATACTCAGTGTTCTATTAACAGGGTCTTTTTGAAAACAAAAATCTATCAGGTTTAAGTGCCACTGGCTGGATATATAACAAGAAAGAAATCACCAATTTTAACAATATGTGTTAGAGTACTTGTATATCTCAATGAAAAGATGAAATTCAGAAATAACACCAAGCTACTATAATTTCTGTAATTTGTATGTAATTATATGTCTATTTCTTGATCATTCTACAAGGAAATGGAAGAGAAAAAAAATCTGTTACGGAAAATTTGAGGTTAACAGTAATGAAGTTAAGTAATCAAACACCAAGCAGTTTAAACTGTTCCTATTCAATGGTGCAGAAAACATAACCTCGTATCATCTAAGCCTACTTAACAGCACAAAATTTTGAGAACCAATCAACTGTAGTTAGCAGATGAGTTTCTGAGTAAAACTTAATTTGGGTTTCAAAACTTGACTGGAATCACATCTAGAAATTTACATCTACATATTAATCTCAAATATGCAAAACAAAAACCTGGTATAACAAAACTATCAGCAAGTTTAAAGTTTACAAATTTCAAAATGAGCAACAATTTTTGCAAAACTATGGGATATTTTTAAAATGAAACATGCAAATGACTCAAGCAGACTCCCAATTTACATTCATATGCATGTAGAAGTGAAATTGGGATGGAGGGGCACCGATGCGATGGGTTGGCCTTGCCTGCTTCTACGTCACATTTTAGTAATAATGCTTCCATTCCTAAGAAGAGAACACTCTTTCCTAATTTATACAGTTAAAATCAGTGATATTAAATTGTGGCACAAAGTAATAACTAACTTGAAAAAAGGCCTATTTTCCAATGGCACATGAAAAAAAAGATTTTAAATTTATTTCCCTATCTCCCACAACCAATCTAAAAGAGCTTTCAATAAACATCAAAAAAACAGCTAAAGAGCAACAGAAGCAGTTGTTTGTTTGTTTTTGGCTTTGAACCGTACCTCTAGCTGCTGTAAGAGAGATTTTCCTTTCTTATTTATTTCATTGATAAGGGTGAAAATAGCCACTTTAATTTCCTGTTCTACTCGCTTGTTAGTCTCATTTACTTCTTTTATCCTGAATAAGAGAAATGCATCATTAGGTTATCAATTTATCTCTAAATCATCAACTATTACAGAAATTCATCCAACTGGGCACTTAACCAAGCAATTAAAATTAAACCTTTGTCAAAATGTATAACATATTTCAGCAGACCTAACCACTCAATTTGGTCCAAACAAGTTATGTATATAGACAAAGAATAGATTAAATATTCAGTCATTTTAAATTAAACTCATAAAGGCCAGTTTATTAACCTAGATGGCAATCTCCTTTAGTTCCTATGATGAATATAATATACAAACATGTGACATCAACAATTGCTGGTTAGTATCAATTCTGGCACACTGGTTCTAATTAATCTTAATGCTTTTCAAGAACTATGTGCAAAAAAAAGACAATGTTGCAAACAATAATTATCTTTTCAAACAGCAGGAATTAAGCTTGGAAGCAGTAATTTTCATTTGTAACTTAAACCACTTCAAATATGGATTCTAATATACCCCCTTCATATATCTTCTCAAAATGGTTTCTTATTGTATATAGGTAAGGGCATAAAACATTTTTAATCCATTCTTTTAAAGTAGTTGTTAGATGTTCCAGAAATAGATATAAACTCCCACCATGGTAGAAAAGTTTTTGTTGCAAATATCAAATAGCTGATACCCTACTATTTACAAAATAGAAAGGGGGAAATCCCACCAATATAAATAAATAAAATGTTAACCATAAGAAGGAAGCCTTCAACTTTTATACACTCTGCTTCTGTACCAACTATATATATAACCCACACTTTCAAACCCCAAATTGACCTTAATTTGCCAAAATCAAATTTGATTAACTTTAATATACTCAATCGTAATAACAGTTTTCCCTCTTTTGTCCGTATATCAGCGCTTATTTGGGAAGTTATTTAAAAAATTTGATTCAATTCTGTCCTTAAAGTCAATGGGAACATTTTTTTGAAAATGAGAATTCTGATTGCTAATAAGACACAGGGTTCTCAAAATGATTCTACCCAAGACTAAAATCATTAAGCATGCTGAAAGCAGAGAATAGTTAGCCACAGTCAGACTCTCATTGGATTTAAGGATGTCTACTGTATGTCCAATTGTGAAGGAAGAAAAAATGAATGTACATTAAAAACTGAAGATGGTCATCAAAAATGTCTAAAAGGGTACGTATCATAAGAGAGTTTAAACACCTTTTTTTTTTAAGCTTTCTGAAGATGAAACCATAATCTCCCCAATCCTCTGCAATCATAAAACATAAACTTCTTGTTTTAGTTCTCTGCACGGATTGAGGAATGCATATACAAAATATGTACAAAAATACAAAATATATAAAAAAGTAGACAAAAATGAGACTGCCATGTGAACCAACTCACTATCCTTTCTTTGAAAAAGACATCCATCTGTAATTTATGAGAAGACAGTTATTGTCTCCAGTACCACCCACAATCTATCAGCATATCCAAACATCCTGACATATCCACTAGAACCAACCATTCATGATTAATGTGTTATTTACATATATCTGCAACTTAAGATTAAAATTCTACTACCTTACTGTTTTATATATAATGTATTATTTTCTAACATTATAATGTACCATTCATTCATTCATCTATTTAGTATTTTTTTAGTGTTATGTGAAATTTGAAATAATCATGAATTACTTTTAATATTCTGAAAGTAACTAAAAGCCCTATTATTTGTGAATCTAAAGAACAAACATTATCAACCTTATTCATACCTCCGGGAATATACAAGTTTAAATTATGCCAGCTCCTAGTGTTTGTCTTCCTACATTAAAGGTCCTCATTTTGTTAATTTTGTTCACTTCTGGAACTTATTCCCACTTGCTCTATCAATAAATTTAGTTTATTTAGAAGTGGACCAATATAGGATTTTTTTTAATACTGATGGTGTTATTGATAAAAACAATAGCAACAGTTAAAATTTAAGGGTTTACTATGTGCATAAACCACTATATATTCACCTTATAATATTACTAAAAAGAGGTACTGTTTTTAATGCTTGCTTTACAAATGAGAAAACAAATTTGTCCACCACTATTCATACTTTCCTCTATTCTGTATCTTCAATAGTCTGTAGTTAAAATTTTATAATTCAACTCTATATATTAATTCCATTTTTTACATTTAACTAAGGGTTATCAAGATTAGAGTCTTATTAATTATAAATCAGCCAAAAATGTATCGATCCTAAAAGGCTATTCAAAATTTTGGTCTATTATGTTTTACTTAATTAACAAGTATAATTTAAACTCATACAATTTACCCCTCTCCAAAAATATTTTAATACGATTAATATTAATATAAAAGAAAAAATTCAAAATGGACCCACTGTTTATAACCCTTAAAGTGAAATTATAGTTTTAAGGCAACACACCTATTCTGCACCTGAGTAGCTGCAAAATGAACATAATTCTTCTTCTCAAGAAGTTTAGCCAGTAGATTCTCAATTGCACCTTTCTGGTTTTGAAAAGCTTCTTCCAAAAACTGGTACCTTAAAACCAAAACAAAAACTACATTTAAAACAGGAAATTTATGATTAAGATTTTGGAAATGAAGAATTGCTGCATGGGTAAATCCAGAAACCTTATGTAAACGATCAACATTCTGGTCACACATAACTTATGTCAGTATCAATTTTTAACTAACAATCTCTCCCCATCTGAACCAAAACTGAAAAGCCATTATAAGGTTAAAAAAATTACTCAAACACTGTTCAAATGCTAGCTCTTTACATTACAATTTTGATTCAGGATCAAATTTTTTAAAAAATCCAAATACTGCCATATGTTATATACATTTTATACCATAAAATATAACCACATTATAGAAAATACTTTCAAAATTAAGAACCCCCCCCCCATATTTCCAACATCATAAAATTGCTACCACTGTAATATACAATTCCTTAGTCTTTTATCATGCATCTTTAGGTACAAGTGTAATCATAATGCGCACACAATGATTACATTTTGCATCCGACTATTAGCCTTTATTTAGTCTTTACAATCACCACTTAAAATAATTTTTCAGTTCTAGATGCTTTATATTGTCAAACTTTTCCAAAAAGAGTGTATCAATGAAAAAAATCATTGGTATCAGTTTTATTGTAACTGTGAACATGAGTGATGTGTGTTAAGATTTTCTAATATTATAATAGTGAAAATTAAGACTTGGTAGTAAAGACTACAGTTCGTTGATTACTAGGAAGGTAGAAGAAATTTTCTTTGCTAGTTTCATTTCCTTTGTGTAAATTATTAAGCCAACAGATATTTTGGGGCTTCTATATGCTAGGGACACATGGATAAAAAATCTATTACTGTTCATATGCTTGTAATAAATCAGCACAAATATAAAATGATAGCTAGCAAACTGGTAAGACCTATGATGGAGGTATATGAAGTCTGTCCGGATAAAGTCCAGCCATTGTTAAAACAACAAAAACAGTATGCACATCAATGTAACCTAGCAGCCAAGGAGTGTGGACTGGGACACGCATGCGTGAACAATGACTTCATTGTATTAGTTGGGGCGGGCAAGCAGACCTTGTTGAGTGAGCGTGTGCACTGTGTAGCTGTTGCATTCAAAGTGACAGCAAGTACAGTGACAAATCTGCACTTAATTTTGCTTTAGGCTTGAACATTCCACCATGAAAACTATTAAGATGATTCAGGAGGCCATAGCTATACTCGTGATTGGCAGCTTCATCACAACAATGTGCCCACTCATGCATCACATCCCCTGTAGAGTTTTTCGGCTAAACACTGAATCACCCAGGTGACTCAGCCCTACAGCTCAGATGTGGCATCCTGTGACTTCTGGCTTTTCCCAAAACTAAAATCACCTTTGGAAAGGAAGAGATTTCAGACCATCGATAAGATTCAGGAAAATATGACAGGGCAGCTTCTGGTGATTGGGAGAACTGTGTGAGGTCCCAAGATGCCTGCTTTGAAGAGGACTGAGGTGTCATCATCTTTTGTACAATGTGCCTTGTGTCTTGTATCTTCTTCAATAAACGCGTCTATTTTCAGTAGTGCATGGCTGGACACTTTCTGGACAGACCTCGTACACAATTTGCAACAGGAACACTACCTCATTCTGTCTCACTACAAAGGAAAGCTTCACAGAGAAGTGACAACAGAGGCATACTGAGAAGCTACAAATAATTCCGTTTAGCCAAAGAAAACCATGCAAAGGTCAGAATATGAGACAATAACTAATAAACTTGAGAACCAGACTGTAAAGGGCTGAGTATAACCATGCTAATTTTTGAATTTTTGTTTTCTCAGTAATGGGAAACCCTTGAAGAATTCTAACCAAGATGTAATAATAATCAGATACACATTCTAGGACGATCATCGGACAAAAATATAAAAGATAGATCTGAAGAAAAGAGAAGGGAAATAGAAATCTAAGATGGTAGCTCAGATGAGATATCAAAGTATAAAACTAGCTGGTATAGCTAAACAAACAAGCTTCAACAACAAACTATGTCAGAGAGATCCGCACCTTTGGTGATTTGGGAGTTCAGAGGGCTCCAGCTAAAGTTAAGATCCACAGTATAACCTAAAAATTGAATGCCTAGCTAAGGCAGAGTCAAAAGGAGGGAGGTGTCACTGGAATTGAGGAATTCCAGGTACTGACAAAGTTATAACTGTCTCTATGGATACTGAAATCGCTACAGACAGGAACTGAGATGAAGAGGAAGACTATGAGCATCTTGGTACTTGGGTCTTCAGTGAAAGTCTCAGTGAGGGTAAATACGGGAGGAAAGGCTATATGGTTGTAAACATAAAAGGAGGTTTGTTTAGTGGTGGGGTTCAAGAGGTAAAGGAAAAATAAAAAGTAGTATAACAGTAAAGTATAGAGGACCATGGGAATTAGTGTTACAGAGAACATCTGGCAAGAGAGGTTTTTATTTTGAACAGTAAGAATTTTTTATTGTAACAAAATGTACATTAAAAATTTACCATTTTATAATTTTTAAGGTGAATATTTTGAAGGAAAAAACCTATCTATAATGTAAAGTCTAGCACATTATAATTTCTATCAGATATTAAACAGCACAAAAGCATGTGGGTATCTTAAAGTACTTTTAAAAAAGAGGTCCTATTGTTAGAGAGGTGGCCTGAAGACTGGTCCTTCACTGAAGAACTTTTTTTTTTTTTACCATAATTTCTCCATGCCCAAAATAAAATTTTATTTGGTTTAATCTGCACAAATAAAGTAGGACTGTGAGATTACCATGCTAACTCTTTTGACTTAATAAGCTTTATGTTGTGAGGAAGAAAGCTCTTTTGATGCCGAGTTTGATTATATCAGCATGAAAAGGCACTGGATAGAAAGGTCAACTAGAATCATAATTCACAAATATTTGAGAAATATAATCTTGTACAAATTCATTTCTCTTTCCCCCTCAAAGTAAATGTTTTAGAATCTTCTTTCTAGAAATATTTTTGTTGTGTTCATATGAACAAATAACAGGGAACACACTATGGACCCATCTAGGTGAGAGCATGTGTCATCTCCTCCCTTAGCACAAGAGTATACAGCTGAGTTGGGCGTTAAACATGAGTAAGGGCTTTCTAGGTAAACAACTTGGGAGAAAGGTACTTTCACTTAGAAAAAAATATGAATGGGCAAAAATACATAATTCTGAAGCCATTCATCATTTTAAAGGCCTTGGAAAAGAAGGTAAAGCTCTGAGAGTAGGGAAGTAAAGACCCATTTTGCTGAAGTTGGATTCAGATGATAAATAATAGTGAACCAGCTAGATATTAACTGCAAAATGATAATCGTATGTCTCTGCTCACTTGAATACATTTCAATTGTATTACTAGAAGAAAAATACTAGCTGGAGCTTACAAAACAAAGGAGCAATATTAAAGTAGTTTTGGCTACATCCTACTTCTGATTTTCTTAGCTAATAGAATACACTAACACTGCATTTTCTTTTCTTACTAATCAAAATTATAAATGAAATACTTAAGAAGTGGGGAGAAAGAATAACCAATAAACAGGTTAAGCATAAGTTTGATTAATACATAAATACATGAAAGCAATTTCTTAAATTTTAATCTTGCATATGAAGCAGTAATTCTTAACATAGGCTTCTTAATCACAATGAGCTATTTTTAGTGTGTCAAAATATCTAGGTAAAAGTTATGCAGGCCCATGATTTAGCTGGGACAGGCTAAGTAAGACTTTGTGCTTTTGGCTAGAATTATAAAAACTCAGTATAATAAATATACCACTGGTTATTCTGATTTTGAATAGAATTAATCACCATGCTTCTATGCTTTTTTCTTATTAAGAAATATATTATTTAATGCGGCTTGCTGAAAAGTTTTTGAATATCTGGTTCTCAAAAGTCAAGAATATGAGATGAATAATAAAAGGATTGTTTTTAAAAAGGTTGAGAGTCACTTAGTTAATAACTTAAAACTATAACTTTTAAATGCACATTTAGAATCTTATTAGGTCCTGAGCTACACAGGAATGCTACTCTTCTTGCCAAGTAATTACAGTAGTATTATTCTTAGTAATTGTCAGCATGCAAACAATCGATAAGATTTAACTCTGTCACCCCTAGGGAAATAAGTCATCTTAGTTTGTATCCAAACTGTGTCCAAAAATAAAGCAGTAATTCTGAACTCAGTTTATTTTTTAATTCAGGTATTCCCCTTAAAATTTACTGCATTATAATTTCAAATACACATTAGAGGTTCAATTCCACTAAACCTTTCTCCCACTTTCAAAGAGTATTCATTTATAGCCAATTTTGTCAAAATATCCACCCACTCTATATCCTCAAGATTACTCTGAAAAAAACCCCAATCATCATATTTTATATAAAGATTTATCATCTATAGCTAGCAATAGCTAACCTGTTTTGAGAACTTGTGTTTTCAGACACTGTGCTAAGTATCTCACATTGACTCTCATTTAATCTTTAGAAAAACTTAATGACTATCTTAATGACTAGGTATATTATTATCTTCATAGTACTAGTTGGATGATTTCGATAACCCTCTAAGTTCTTCAGGTAAATATGAAATAATCTTATTTATCTTAAAGGACTGTTCCAAGAATTACGCTGAGCAACACACATAAAGCACTTACTAAGCATAGTACTTTGCTTACAAAAGCAAAACAGGGGCTTAATCCTAGTTATCACTGCTAGTTTTAGTAGTAATTTTAAATTATTTCCATTGTGACAATATAAAACGTCAACCCTTCAAAAACAAAAAGCCTACTATGCACATAAAGTGTTTTTGAGAATAATTTAAAATGAGGTTTTGTTCCTTATTTAAGGTTCTATGTAAAGGGAAGATGATAATAGCCTAAGAATTCACAAAACGTTGAAGAAAGTAGGAGCTCTAAGCAACCATGATGAGAACCAAAAAGGGTGGAAATTTCAAGAAAACTTAGGGAAGACATTAAGATTGTCACGTAAATAGAACAAAGAATCAACTCTATATCTCAAAGGTGATA